AATTGTTTAATCCCTCCTTCAAATTTAAATGATAATCTTGCTGGGTAGAGTATTCTTGGTTTGAGGCATTTGTGTTTGATTGCATTGAATATATCATGCCACTCCTTTCTGGCCTGTAAGGTTTCTGTTGAGAAGTCTGATGATCACCTGATGGGCTTTCCTTTGTAGGTGATCTTTTTTTCTCTCTCTGGCTGCTCTTAATTCTCTGTCCATTTCCTTGATGTTTTCCATTTTTATTATATGTCTTGTTGTCTTCCTTTGAGGCCCTTGTGTTTGGAGATCTGTGCACTTCCATGGCCTGAGAGACTATTTCCTTCCTCAGATTGGGCAAGTTTTCAGCCATTATTTCTTCAAATAGCTTTTCTCTCTCTTCTTCTGGTACCTCTATAATGTGGATATTGTTCCTATTGGATTGGTCACACAGTTCTCTTAACATTCTTTTATTCCTAGAGATCCTTTTTTCTCTCTCTGCCTCAGCTTCTTTGTATTCCTGTTCTCTAATTTCTGTTATGTTTACCATGTCCTCTACCTCATGTAATTTGCTTTTAAATTCCTGCATTGTATGTTTCATTTCAGCTACTGTATTCTTCAACGTGCCTGTCTCTGTCTTGAATTCATTTCTTAGATCTTAAATATTTTTCTGTAGCTCTGTTACCATGCTTATGACTTTTATTTTGAATTCTTTTTCAGGAATATTGGTGATTTCAGTCTCACTGTGCCCTCTTTCTGGTATTTGGGGGATGTTGGATTGAACAAGGTTCTTCTGCCTTTTCATAATCCTGGAGCTATGGCAGGGGTCACAGGCAAGCAGTGCTTCTGCCTACCCAAAGGAGAGAGCTTTTTCCTGCTTCCTGGCTGCAGTGCTTGCCTCCACTCTCAGGCCAGTGAGCCACGTGCAGGGCACAGCCTCTGTGTTAATCCCCTAAGCTGCTGTAGGCCTGGCTGCCCTCCAGCTGGCCTGGAGCAATGACATAGGTCTCAGGCAATCAGCACTGGTGCCTTCCAGGAGACATAGCTCTTTCCTGCTTCCCTCCCTCAGTGCCTGCCTCTGCTGTCAGGGCCAGTTAACCACACATACAAGGAGCATCCTCAGTGTTAAGCCTCTGTAGTTGCTATAGGCAGGGCTGCCCTCCTGCTGCAGGTGCCATCCAGGAGGAAGGAGCAGCAGGCTAATTATTGTATTTGGGGGGCCTCAGGGCTTTGTTGCCAGCAGGGGAATGGAGTGCCTCAAGCTTCTGAAAGTTCCCAACCTGCTGGGGTGAGAGTGCCATGATGATTTTTGTCCACCTGTTCCTTCTCCTGAGCAGCAAGCTCTGTGTAATCCTTGCCCCTTTAACAGCCCTCTCACTGTTGGAAAGTCTTTCAAAGTGCCTGCCTTTCTTTTGTCCCAGAGCAGCTGGTTTTGGGAACCTGTTCTCCACAAGCGCTGGAATCTCAGTCTCTGGCTTTGCTTTTCAACCCCTCTTCTCCAGAGCACCATGCAATGTGTGTTTGTGCTCCTGTAGTAGATTTCCAGGGCTCGGTATTTAGCAGACCTGGGCTTCTACTCCCTCCCTGCTCTGTTTCTCTTCTTCCCACTAGTGAGCTGGTGCGGAGGGAATGCTCAGGTCCCATTGGGTCTTGGCTTTATTACTTTACCCTTTTCCTTGAGATGTTCTCTTCCCAGATGTATGCCAGCTGGTGCAATCTTATTTCTGGTCACTCTTTAAGGATTAGTTGTATTTGCTGTATTTTTGTATTATATATGATTTTGGGAGGAGATTTCTACCTCACCTCTCATGTTGTCATATTTTTTATGAGCCCCCCCCAGTATTCTTTTTATTTAATTGAAAAACTTTTGAGCAGTTCACACATAGATAGTACACAGTATCAAGTTCAAAAGGACAAAAGAGCAGCCAGTGAAAAGTAAAATTCCCTGCTATCTCTGTTCCTTGATTGAAGGTATTTTTAAGAAAGGATTTCCTTCAAGAATCATGCATTAGCCCATACCACAATTTTGCTTTCTGTAAGAATTCTATATAGGACTTGAACATGATATTCTTTCACTCAAAAATGACCCATAGTTGGCCCCCTTCTTGCATAGTAAGTTATTCAGTGACCATCTCCCTCTCTGTCCAATGACAGGACGCATCATTCCTTCCTACTTATTTTTTTTCTGTTCCCTCTTGATAGGGTTCTCCCTGGCCAAGTTTTTCAGTTCCATTACTTTGGACTAATTTTCTTCCCTAGACACTCTGTCAGGATGAGAAATAAAAATGTGCACCTCAGCCAAGCAGCATCATTGCAGCCATCAGACTTGGGCAGTCTAGGCCAGACGATTAATTTTCCCAGCTGTGTGGCCATGTTGCAAGGCTGTATGGTATGTGGAAGAAATGTCAGCCAGGCCAGGCCAGGCCAGTGGTCACCTGGCATCACATAGTGTTTTGGATCAGTTGTCTGGTTCTCTCTGCCCTTGGATTAAAGAGCCTTTAATAAGCCTCAGTGTTTAGGTAAACAATTGCACGGAATGACTGCATACTTAGAGAAAGTCTAATAAATACTTTCTCTATTATTTCTCTAATAAATACTAAAAAAGCATTTCCAGCAGGGACCCAATGAGGTAGGTAGCTCTTGGTTTGAGGTGATCTGAGGGGGATGAAGTGTCTGAGCCTACCATGAAACAGTTTCTTCTCTGGTTTCTCTCTACACCTCCGTCCCCTTACCTGGCATGAAATGTCTACCAATTGCTGTTTCTTTGTACCGAGCAGCAGAGTCAGGGGTCATGTCTCTAACACGTTTTGTTGCGCTGTTGGCTACAAACTGAAGAGAGCCCTCTAGCTCTCCCTCAGGGCGCAGTCACAGGGACTGGCCCTTCAGTATTATTTCCTGGAAAGTCTTGGAAAACACACAGGTAAATAGAAAGCCTGCTTGGACAGGATTGAGGTTCAGGAGCTATTACTCTCTTTTTATGAGAAGAGTAAGAGGAAGCTTGGAATTACACCAAGTATGATGTCGGAGAGAGAAAGGTCAGTATAACAGGGCTTGGGTGCATCTGTTTCTGCAGACAGCCACAGACTCAACACATGCCCCTGTCTAGTGCCTTGTGTTCTGCAGGCTGCTTTAAGTCTCTCTGCTCACAGCAGCCACGTGGGTAAGCATCTCCATTTTACAGGTGAGACTCAGGAAGCCAAGTGACTCGTGTCATGGCCATTTTAGCCTCAAGGAATAGAAAGGAAAATCAAATCTCCTTATGTTCAAAGTGTTTCTTCCTTTATACTATATAGAGTCCCCTGTATTTTAATTAGGAGAGCATTTGTAGTAAGCTTCAGTTTTTCCAGCCCTGGTCCCAATTCTAGAGGCAGAGGAAAGGGGAAGAGGAATGTAATCCAGTGGTGGGCTTTGGTGTTAAGAGAAATTTGGGGTTGGTTGAATACATTCTGATTTAGTCACTTACGAAATGCATCATCCCAGGCAGGTTAATTGACATCTCAGAGTCTCAGTTTTCTCCACTATAAAATTGGGAAAATAGGTATATCTTGGGATTGTTACAAGGATTAGAAGTAATATTGCAAAGCACCAGGCACACAGAAGTCATTCAGTAAATTATACCTATTATTAATCTTGATGTTAATAAAGTAGAATGATTTCTTGCAAATGGATACACATACAGTAGCTAACTGGATGTGACGAATTAAGAATACCTGTATGTGTTTAGACTCAAGAAATGACAGAGCCCAAAACAAGATGGGTTTCCTAATAATAACAACACTGTTGTACATCATTTTACAGTTAAGAGTGTACTTTCGGGTACATTCATTTTAACCTTGAAAAACGCAGCATGGTCGGTGGGTAGACAGTATCTGTTCTATAAAAAAAGACTTGTGCTTGGTCACTGCCAGCAAGAACAGCTGGGGCTAACCCTGTGTTTGGATTCCTACTCCTGCATATTCCATCTCTACCCCATCCTACAAGAATTAGATTGCTTCTCTCTTTCCTCTCAGAAACTAAAATCAAGGCAAATTATTATAGCCAAAAAGTTTCATGGGTTTGAATTCTTTATCCTTAAGGCATGAAGATCTTTAGTGAACTCAGACCTTTTAAGAAATCTCACTTTCTTGATTATATGAGGACTTGGTTTTAAAAGCAGATGCCTAGAGATGTCCCCAAAGACCACTAACAACTTAGTTCCCTTGTTCTGCTGTTAGCCTGATAGTGACTTATCTGGTAAGATTGTTACCTTCTGAAGTGTTGTTAAATGTTCAGTTTTGTTAAAATATGTGCATGTCTTTAGTGCAGTCTGGCATTCTTTTTCTCTAGTAACTAAGCTTCTATTGATTTGCATGGCTAGATTTTTAAAGACTTGATAATAAAACTGGTTCTTGCAGATGTGATGCTCATAAATGGATTTTTTGACCAGTTACGTTACCTGGTCACTGTTTCATAATTTCCTTCATGACACCCAGTCAACAGGCCTTTCTCCTGGAGGCTGAGCCCTGGCTTGCAGACTTCTTTCTAATGTTGGCTGTGTTCACAGTTCCCTCATGTTGTAGGAACAGGAAAGAGATGCCATCAGACCCTCTACACTTACAGAAAATGAACACCTAACTGTCAGGGTGTGCTACAACCCAACTCCCAATCCAAACAACATTTTAAAATGCTATTATAGTATTTTTTGAAAGCAATGCTTCTTTTTTCACATTTCATCACATGAGGGGGAAAAAACAGTGTTTTGTCAATGAGAATTACTTTTCATAATTTGGCAAAAAAATTAATATTAAAGAACACTAAAACAAAAGACAAAATGAAAAATAAAAATGTGACAGTGTTGTGCTAAAAACTATTTTCAAATATTTTAACTATTATAATTTTTAATGTAACTTTCTGACCCACATGTGTTTATGTATGTGTATAAATTTCTAATAGTTGTAAATAGTGAACTTTATATTCTACTCTTAAAAGCATTATTTTCTATGTCTTTCACATTTCTACATAGTTATAAATTTTACTTCTATTTTTAACAGGTTGAAAATGCATTTACTGGGTTACCAGGCTATAAGGACATTCATGTGCTTGACTTTAGGTAAATAGACTTACTCTAAAAATGTACATGTTGAGTTGCACTCTTTATTTCAAATGGAATCTCCTTTTGTGTCTATTTTATGTATATATATATATATATACACACACACACATTCTCTAACCACAGGTGATTTGAATGCTGTAATTCCATGTTATGTCTGGTAAATTTGTATTATTAGTGCCAGTTTTTCACTTGAAGAAACTGAGTTAGGAAATGGCAAAAGAATATATTCAAGGAGACATACTAGATCTGTAGTTGGGCCAGGGTAAGAATTCAGGAATTCATGTCTCCGGCTGACTGCTGACAAGTCACACTGCTATTTTTGGCTCTAAGGGGGGCCTGAAGTCAGATTAGGTGTGACCTCAGTGTCCTGCTACCACATATCAGTGGTCTGCTGAGGTGACGTTGATGTCTTGGTGTAAGGCCACTTTGGAGAGTATGCGTTCTTCTTTGTTTCAAACATAATGGCTCTGAGTAACTCAGAGACCTCTTTTAAGACATTTCTTCTCTGCTTGAGACTGATGGCATAATACTTGTGAACATTTATTAAGTGAAAACTTTATTTTGGGCACTTCACATTCCTGAGCTCCCTTAATCTTCAATCCTCTGAACCTAAGTTGTATTAATACTCACTTTACAGAGAAGCAAACAGGCTTAAAAGGGTGAGGTATTAGCCCAGGGTTAGAGAGTTTGTAAATCAGCAGCAGAGGAGGGATTTTGAACAAAATATGTGACTTTATAGCTCTTGCTCTTAATCTCCTTGCTAGACCCAGAACTCTGCAGGTTTGGAGCACTCAGGTGGTAGTGGTGGCCAAGCTGTTGGATGCCGGGCAGCATGACCAGGGGTGCTGTGTAATCTCACAGCATAATTAACAGTGTCAACAACTTAACTTTGGCTTATTCTTGTCACGATGTCTGGGTTTACCAGAAACAACAGCAGGCACTTATATCGCACTAACAGCATGCCAGGCTTTATATCTATATTAACTCCTTTAATCCCAATACCCATGTTATGAGGTAGTTATTATTTTCCTTATTTTTTTTCTGGTAAGGAAAGCAGAGCACAGGGAATTTAAATAACTTACTGACAGTCAGCTAGTTACAGGGGAGAGGGCAAGTATGGTAAACTGACCCTCCACCTACCCTCACACCCTGACCTGTCTCCCCAGTTCAACCTAAGTACTTCTCACAGAATACTGTCTCTAGTTGTGACTAAAGCTCATATGAGAAACAGAATGTGAGGCCTTTGAAGACCTTTCTCATTTGGCAGCACATGAAAGACAACATGGCCTTTCGGTCCCACTTACCATGGTTCAAATCCTACCTTTGGTACTTCTGACTGAGTGATTTTATGTAAATTACGAAGTCTTAACTTCTCATTTGTATAAAAACAATTTACCTATTAATTCTACTTTATTAAAAAATACTTTTGGGTAAATTATTTAGCTTCTTTGTTCCTCAGTTTCTTTACCTGTAATGTGATACTAAGGGTCCTTATTAATCTTAATGAAGAGTAAATTAATTAATTTTTATAAAAGGCTTAGCACAGTTCCTGACACATGGGAAGTTCTATTAAGTGTCTATTACATAAAATAAAAAATATTAAAGGCTATGCAATATCCTATAGGTTAGTCAGTTATAACCTTTCCCAAATACTTAACACCTTTCTATATACTATCTGATTTTCTTTTATTTTAATATTACATAATACATTGTATTCTTGAAAAAAAGGTTCACAATTTTGTTAATGCCAACAACTGGAGTCCTCAGCTGATCTATTACAAGAAGCTTATTTGTAAGGAGATAACCTTATGTGGATTGCTTAGAAAGCATTTTACTAAGAATGTTTAAACATAATAAAGACTATTTTAAGATAGAATACTTTCTCCACCTTTGCATGTTTCCTTCAATATACAAGAATTTGTCAGCATTTGATACTATGCAAGCATTTTCATGCAGAGAAACCTTTCAGAGGAAATATATTAAGATCTTGTACTTTGATGAAGGATCTGGCAATTATAACTGTTTTAAACTCTGCTTAATCTCTTCAATTTTTATTTTCAGGTCCCCCAAGGAAAATGGCAGGTAGTGTACTTTATTGGCATTTTCTAAACTGTCCACTGAATGCGGAGGTAGTTTAAAAATTTGGTAGCCCCAAGTCCAAGTGAGCATGGCTCAATTTTTTTTATCACTTCCACTATCACTACCCAGTTCCTTACAGATGAGGAGTGGGCAACTTTTGCTGTTAAAGGTCAGATAGTAAATATTTTAAACTTCTCAGGCCAGATGGTCTCTGCTGCAAGCTACACATCTCTGCCACTATGGAAGTAGGTACAGACAATATGTTGAAAACACCTGAGCATTAAGTTTCAATAAAACTTAACTTACAGACATTGAAATATGAATTTCATAAAATTTTCATGTCACAAAATGTTCTTTTGATTTTTCAACCATTTAAAAAATATAAAATCCATTAATTTTTGGACAGTGGGCTGGATTTCACTCACAGGCTGTAGTTTACAGACCCCTTTCATAGGCTGTTGACTGGCAAGTACTTTAAATATTGAGTTACACTTAATTTAAAAGAAGAAAAAAGACCTGGTATTAAAGTTAACACCTTCAAGTACTCTATGTCATTCAGTAATTTAATCAAGCGTCACATTAAATAGATGAAGGGGAGAAAGCTGATATCTGTAATAGTTCATTTACAAACACAGCTGCTCTCTGAATTTCTTAGAAGCAGCATAATATGAAAGGATAGTCAATAAATACCCTTTGTGAAAACTGCTTGTCATTTTTTGCCTTTGGATTAAAATTTATCTGAAATTCATTTTCTCTTGGAACACTGATGAGCATAACATAGAACTTATGAAGCAGATTCATAGGCTAAATATACAGTAATATTTCTTCATTTTAGAGATATAGTAATATTTAATATAGTAATATTCCTTCATTGAAATATCTTATATTTGAAAAGAGGTTGGAGCCAGTGTGCATTTACCATTCTGAAAATTCTAGGGCCCTTAAGAGTGATGCTAACTCTATCTTTGCTCTATAAATGGGATAACAAAGCCTACATTACAGCACATCTGTTTACAATATGGGTAACTGAATATTTCAAGCCCACTAGCGACACCTGCTCAGTAAAAAAGATTCCTTTTAAAATATCATTGCCGATTGACAATGTACCTGGTCACCCAAGAGCTCTGATGGAGATGTGCAGTAAGGCTAGTATTATCTTCATGCCTGTAACACAACATCTATTCATGGACCAAGGAGTAATTTCAACTGTCAAGCTTTATTATTTAAGAAATATATTTTGTAAGGCTGTAACTGCCATAGATAGTGATTCCTTTGATGGATCTGAGTAAACTGAAAACCTTCTGGAAAGGATTCAGATGCCATTAAGAACATCTGTGATTCATGGGAAGCAGTACAAATACCAACATTCAAAGAGTTTGAAAGAAGTTGATTCCAACCCTCATGGATGACCTTGATGGGTTCAAGACTTCGCTGGAAGAAGTAATTGCAAATATGGTGGGAATAACAAGAGAACTGGAGTTAGAAGTAGAGTCTGAAGATGTGACTGAGTGGCTGCAATCTCATGTTACATCTTGAATGGATTGAGTTACTTCTTATGGATGAGCAAACAAAGTTTTTTGACATGATCTACTCTTGGTTAAGATGCTGTGAAGATTGTTGAAATGACAAAAGATTTAGAATATTACATAAACTTAGTTGATAAAGCAGTGGCAGGGTTTGAGGGGTTTAACTGCAGTTTGGAAAGAAGTTCTGTGGGTAAAATGCTGTCAAACAGCATCACGTGTTACAGATAAATTATTCATGAAAGTGTCCATAGATGGGCAAACTTCAGAGTTGACTTGTTTTCAGAAATTGCCACAGCCAACCCAGCCTTCAGCAGCCACCACCCTAATCAGTCAGTAGTCATCAATAAGGCAAGATTGTCTACTAGCAAAAAGATGATGACTCACTGAAAACTCAGGTGATAGCATTTCTTAGCAAAAAATGTTTTAAAATTAGGTATATACATTTTTTAGACATGTAGCTATTGTACACATAATAGACTACAGTATAGTGTAAGAGTAACTTTTAAAAATATGCACTGGGAAACCAAAAAGTTCATTTGACTAGCTTTATTGTGATACTTTATTGTGATGTACTGCAACCAAATTCACAATATCTCTAAGATATGCCTGTCTTTAATATATGTAGCTTCTCTTTTTTCTCTCTCTCTCCATGAACATTTATATGCACATGATATTTTGTATTTGCTTTGTACATCTTTCAAGATGCACACATTATTTTAAGTTAGTAGAACTCATTTGAAACAAATAGTACATATGCCTGGTATACACACTTCAAAGTATAGTTCCAGGCTATGTAAATATACACCTTCTTCCTAACAGAAAGGATGTGTGAGTTTCTCTGAAATGTTTATCTTAGTTGACCTTAATAAGATGTGAACCATCATTTTCTATTTAAAATCTGCACATGTCAAACAGCCAATTAGGGCATTTAAGATGAGAGAATAAGAAGTGGTTAATTTCATTTCTACATGATTGATATTTCTGGAAATAGCTGTCAGAAGAGAAATTTCCTCTATATCGCAGCTGTTTCAGTTTAGTTTAGAAGATGAACAATGATGATACAGTGGTGTTGGTTAACTCAGAGTTGCTGAATGCGAAAAAGCCAGCACAGCTTTCTTCAATCAGATAATATTTTGTCTACCAGCGTGCATTCTGCAGCTTATGTACTTCCTTGGCTTCTTGGCTTTCTGTTATTTCTGTCCCTTGTCCTGAGATGTCTTTGTACTCTATTTTCTATGCCAGAACTCAAGTCTGTTTTGGGTCACAGTGAAGTCCTCAGCCTGAGAATAGATGGTTTCCTGATACCTCAAACATTTTCTTGAGGACAAAATCATAGTGTTAAATTGCAGCATTTCTCTGAGGCAACCTATCTTCTTTAATGAATTTATCCTCATTAGACAAGGTAAATTATAATAGAAGTGTTATTTTTAGATGTCCAAGGAAATCATTGTGAGACAAATTATGTTTTGCCAATAAAGAATAAGGACAGTAGTCTAACTGCCTGATCTGCGCAGATTTCTTGATCCTCTCCCTGTAATGTTTAAAAGTCATGCAAGGCACGTACTTCATCCCGCATGGCTTGTGAAGAGCATGCAGAGTTGGCTGTGAAGCAATATCCCTAAAATGATTACTCAGAGGACATGAGATGTATGAGATGTCCTTTTGGGCAAAAAAGTACTCTCTCATATTCAGAGGCAAAAAATCCTCAAGATTAAATAAGTTAGGAGTATCACATACTGTCATTTAAGTGGCACAGGACACTTCTTTTGTCTGTCTGCATTAGTGAATAAAACTGATCAGCTGTTTTTTCATTATTTTTAAAGTGTTTATTGAACTGTGAACCAGGCATTGTACTAGATGCTTGGGACACATATGATAATGGTGAGATCTTACCAGTAGGTGTCCCTCTTACTATTTTATTCCACGTTGGGGCTATCACTTGGTTATTTTAGCATATTTAATGAATTTATTTCTTTACAAAAGAAGACCAGACCCATGAGTTACCATATTCTGACATGAAATACTAAGGGATTGAGGGAAGTTCTAGATAATAAGTAGATGTTTTACCGCTTAATAGAACATTATTAAAGGTGTCAAAATGCCCACTTTAAAGCTCTCTAAACCACCCCAGCTGGGACTGGCAGCTTACCAGATCTGGGAGAAAGACCTTATGAAATTACTCAGAGTGAAACAGGAGCCTACCTGCTTATATGGCAGGTGAAGGATGTCCAGGGTGTGATGTGTAGCAAGCAGGCCCAGGACAGGTTCAGAACTGCCAGTGTTCTCAGGAAGGAGAGGACTATTAGGACCATTTCATGCTTACCAAATCACAAAATACAGGGCATTGTTCAGGATGCCAGTTGATGTACCTAAAGCAAGAAATATATCTGCCAAGAAATATATCACCAATTATGGAATTGGCTGACTCATGCCAGTATATCAAGCCACACCAACCTGTTGAGCCGTCTCCAGTCCAGGGATCTGTTTTACAAGTGAGACACAATCCACTTTAGTGGTCAGAAGCTTTCCACCAAATAGTAACATAGATGACTTGATTAATTCCCCTTTTGTAATTTCCATTTTCATTATATTAATAATTTTCATTAGATAGTGTGAATATCTTGGTTAGGTTGCAGGGTTTTTTTTTTTTAATATTCAGACAAGTATAGATTTCTATCATTGAGTAGGTACTGGGTACCCCCTAGTGCCAGGAACCAAGCTGAACACTGGGGATAGAAAGAAACTCAGAGTGAAAGGCAGTCACTATAAACAGAATCATTTTACAAAACAACAAAGGCTGTAATCAAGGAATATATAATAATATGTAAGTAAGTTCAGAGGAGAAAGCACTTTATTTGTATGCTTTGATTTGGGAGTCCTTTTGCTTCCAAGTAGGAAGGTAGCAGGCTGCTTCCATCACAGGCCTATCTTGAGTAGCTGATATTTAGCAGGATAGTGCTCTGCTTACCTCTGGAGGGACCTTGGTGTGACGTGCTGGGCTGCGTCTCTGATGGATGTGTCTCTGACTGGAAGCCAGAGTGATGACTAGAGCAAAGCTGTCTTCCTAATGACTTTTTTTCTGATAATAGTTTAATTAAAGCAACTGAGAGTATAGCATAGTAGTTCAGAATGCAGGTGCTGGGGTCAGGCAGATCTGGGTTTGAATCTTGACTTTACCACTTAGATGCTGTAAAATTTTAGTCACGTCTTTTAACTTCTTTAAAGCCCAGTTTCTTCAACAATAGTCTGAACATAATAAAACCTCCACAGGGTTGTTATGAAAATTAAATGAGATAAAGCATGTGAAGTACCTGGTCACTTTGTAAGCACTTAGAAAATGTTATCTTTAGATTGTTAGAGAAATCTGAGTTAGAGTCTAGAAGGAATATTCCTATTGGTTTAGAAATTTTGTATTCAGATGTTATTTCTCCAAAATGACTATTTAAGAAAATATGACACACCAACTCCTACTTAACATATTTTCACTGTCTTTTACTCCAAGAAATCTCTTTGGTCATGGAAAGGTAGATAGTGACAAAGCTTAATTCCCAGGTCAAATTATTTGTTAGCTCTTGTCAAGGTTTGATTGAGCTCATAATTGAAGGAGCTGGCAGAAAATGAAAGCTAGTTTCTACAGCACTTGAAAAACAGAAATTTATATACTTAATTTGGACAAGAATTACTAAGTTAAATACAGAATTGGCTGATGCCCTATAGGATTATAAAACTTTGGAGTTATCATTCTTAGAGGCCAGGAAAAACAATCACATTTTTGTAGTTTTTTACAATTTAGTATTAAACTTTATAGGACTGTAAATTGTCTGGGCTACCAAGCAAAAGCATATCTCCTGAGAAACTTAGATAACTGTCATATTAGAAAACATTCTAGCATTATATTTTTTAAAAATCACAAATCAAAAAATTTGCTTCATTTCCAAGTATTTCCTATCTTCCTTTCACAATAAATAACTATGTTTTAGTTAATAGAATTAAGCTTCCTCGTTGCTTCACTCCCCACTGTGGAGTACATAATTCATCCAACAACAGTAATAAAGAGAGATGAGAATATTGTTCATTATTGGATAGAGTTAGAAGATTTTTTTTTTTTAATCAAAGAGAAGAAATGCTAATAGCGAAAAAAGGAAGCAGGCTGATAGTGGAGAGGAACAGTTGGCTTTGAAGGAGGAAAGAAGGGTTGAGAATATAGAGAAAGAAGAAAAGGGTGTTCTTCAGGGTTGTGTCTGTGGCCTTAGAGCTGTTCTATGTTCTTAGAGCTAAAACCTGTGCTCTGGGAAGGAGGAGGGGATGGCAAAATTGTTCGCAGGCTTCAGAGAATGGTGATGGAACAGGCGTTTTGGGACTCCCCCTTCTAGGTATCATATTTGTTCTCCATGGGTTCAAAGGTTCTTTCTTTGTGCCTCCTTATCAGGGCCTAATCTGTTCTCTCTTTTATCCATAGTGGCATAGATGTTCACTATGCAGTTACCTTCAATGGTGAGGCCATCAGCAATACTACCTGGGACCTAATTAGCCTTCACTCCAACAAGGTGGAAAACCATGGTCTTGTGGAATTGCATGATAAGCCCACTGCTGTTTATACAATTAGTAACTTCAGAGATTATATGGCTGAAACACTACACCAGAATTTTTTACTGGGGAACTCCTCTTTGAACCCCGATCCTGACTCCCTTCAGCTTATCAATGGTGAGTTTGATATCCATCATGACGTCCTGTATAGTTTCTTTTTTTTTCCAATATGCTTTGGTGAAAACTGATTTTCCTAAGCGTATGTAGTATGTAGTTCTGAGCAATCTCTAGACTGCACGAGACAGGGCATGTCCTGCTATGAATGGAGTTTTAGCTATGCAGCTATTCTGAATAGATTAATCAGGGGCTTTCTGGAATATTTGCAGACAGAAGGCCACAAAGAGTGGGGAAAGTGGAAAACAGCATGACATTTAGAAATAGCTTAGAAAAATGGGAGCAAAGTATAAGAAAAAGGAAAGCAGTACCTGTAAGTATGAATTAAAACAGGTTATAGTGCTGCCCAGGCAACTAAGACATTAACTTTCCAGAGGCAAGTCAGCAGGTAAAGGCTTACAGCCAGAGAACAGAAGAGAAAGAGCAGGTCAGGGAAGTTGAGGGAAGCTCTTGGTCAAAGAAGAACTAATACTGGGTGCCCAGAGGATCCAATACCAAGTTTGAATTCAGAAAGGTGTAGAGATCCAGTAATGATCTGCAGTCAGCAGGTAGATCTGGGATCATCAAGGAGTATTACTCTGTATTTAGAGGTTAAAGAGTGGCCTACTCGACCTTGGACTGAAGTTTGCTCGGTGTGAACTCATCAGGGACATGGCCTCCTGTTAGTTCCCTGGCTGCTTTATGTTGGATTCTCCATGGTTTCTTTACTCATTGGTAGGTTAGCCTTTCTCCAGTGAAGGATACTTTACTTAAGTGGCTACATGGAAGAAATACCAGCTGCTGAAGAGGAATATTCATGAATGAGAGGCGTTACTATCAGTGATACATTTTTAGAGTCTCTTCAACTCCCACAAATTCTTCAGGGAAAAGAGCCCGTATCCTTTCAGGCAGCTAACACCTAGGCTTGTGTGTGTGTGAATGTGAATAAACAGACAAGGGAGAAAGAAAAGAGAAAGATATAACAAAACGTTATTATGTATAATAAATTCCTTACTTTCTAAATAAGATGTTTTTTGAGGGGTTCAACTAAAACTTTAAATTGCTTTTCAATCATTTTGATTGCTGGACTGATGTTTTCTTAATGTGACACTGTGCTGAGACAGAGCCACAAAGTGTCCTGGACTTATAGGTTACATAAAGTGGAGAAACTCTGTCTTCGGATGTTAGGGTATTAGTTCTAAAACACTAGGGTACCTTTGTATTTTGGAGCAATGTGAGTACCCTAGGCTCACTTCTTTGTATGCTCCTTTTTTGTTGTTGAATCTTCTTGGAATACCTGAGCCAAGTAAAATAGGCCTATTATCTGAAATTGCTGAAGTCCTTTTGGCAAGGCTAATGTAGACTAGTGGGGGGCTACCTATGAGGACATCATATAAGCAGAAGGTTCCAGGAATCTGGACATTGGCATCAAAGAGAGAAAAAATATAGTTTGGTGGTCATGACCTGAGGAAGATGGGAACCTAAATTGAGCAGAATGTGCAAATACCAAGGTTAGTAGCTAGGGCAATGGAGGAATGGCATGAAGATTAAGGTATGCAATAGGCAAAATGAGGTAGTTTAGGAAACTAAATCTACAAAAAGAACCTTAAAGTCTTACTTTTATGTGGAACCGGGAGGTGGAGCTACCTCCTAAAAAGTGTCCTAAAAAAGAGGTCAACAACACTTAGAATTTCCAAGCATGTTCAACAAAAGCATTAGGATATACAGTATAAACTAATTTAGGTGCTGTGAACTTTCATTAGACGTATGAAAATGAATTTTCTCCCTTAAATACATTTCCATTGTCATGCCAACCTCAGAGTTCTGAATGGATGCAGCATTCTAGGTAACTTGATCATCATCTTGAAAGATATGTTCATCCTTGATCTTGTGTATCTTGTTTTCTTCCATAGAAGAAAAGATAACTCTATACACAGTCAAAAAGGAGTTTTTGGAAAATATTTAAACCAAATAGGGTTTTTGGCTTCTGATTCATCCCTCTGTCAGGCTAGTAGGAACAGGTGAATACAGAGAAATTCTGCTTCTGTTTTTGGCACCTACACCACATGACCCTTCTTTTTAGCTTTTGTTGATTCCCTCTCTCGTCCAGGCAAAGTAATTTTTTTCTTTGTCTTTATTCCTATATGTTATATATATATATATGCTTCTCACATCATTTTATAATTTGTATTTATCTCTCTGACATAGGGAATACTTCCATAGGAGAAACCTGGCTTTATTATAAGTGTTTATAGCCTCAACTTCAGCTAAGTCTGTAGTGACTAGCAAGGATGCAGTAAATCTTTGTTGAATTAACTTACATAATCTAATCTTTTAACACTGTTGTCGTTAAATACAGCTACAGAGATAAGTTATCTGATGTCCAGCCCATTTTTCAAATGTATTTTCTGCTAACAAGGGGATCTCTTTGCATAATTTTCTCCATTCTTAGCATCAAACAAATGAGTTGGAATTTCAATTCAATCTTCTTATTGAAATGAAAAAAAAATCACTTAAAAATGCTTCATAGGAACTTGAAAAAAGTTAACAATGCTTGAGAATGGAAAAGAAATAATATGAGTGTAATAATGAGAAGAATATTTTATATTACAGCCTTATAATTCAGATTGTGCCAGTATAAGTTATATATATGTATATGAATAAAGTAGCAAACATTTTCTAAGCACATTTCCCCTATATGTTCTGCCAAGCTCTGAACTATAAGGAGGTAGAACTTGGTTTTTAGTTCTCTGAATCTCAAATGCAGCAGTCTCTCAACTAAAAATGTTCTTTCATATCATGCTTTCTTCAGTGAGAGGAGTTTTACTCCGCCAAACTGAAGATCTGCTTTGGATCTCCCAAAGTTCCAGTGGTCAGGCAACCCCGCCATCTGTTCTGGTAAGTGTATTTCTATGTTTAATACTTAGAACCGGGCCCTTAAGCTTCTCTTCTTTGTACCCTAAGCTGCTTACTTTGGCATCATGAGTTTCCTGAGCTGTTCTTATTTCAGATATTCTCTTACCTCATTCCTGGAACATTATTCATAGTTGTCAGCTCATGGGTCCAAATATTGGTTTAGAGAATTGAAGTATTCCACAGTGGTTAAATGAAGTCCACACATTTTTCAGTGCTAAACTTCACACATAGTGTATACTTGCTTATGGTTCCAACAAACTTGTTTGGTGATAAAATGTAAATGCCTACCGAGTTCTCTAAAACTTATCCAGAAATAGTTTTTATATCCAAACTATAAATTGATGTGTATAGGTAGGTAGATTTTTGTTCCACAGAGTGTACTGAAGAAAAAATTTAGACTCCAAAGCTTATAGAACAGTGTTTATAAATAGAGAGAAGGAAGAGTGAAAAATATCAGCTACCTGACAAATCAGGCCTCCTTTTAACCTGGGCTGGGAAAACACTCCCGTGTGCACAGGAACATCATGGAATGAACTTAGCTTTTTGTTCTTATTATCCTACTACTCTGGATACTCCTCTGCCCTCTCCAAACCTCAACTTGCCACTTCACCTATAGAGAGACATCCAGCAGAGGAGAAAGTGGTTTTTCTCAAGTGCAGTTAAAACAACACACATACAAGGACAGCTACAACCACAGCTGCAGTATCACTAGGGACCTGCCTGTTTACAAGTACACAAATCTTTTATTATCACATAAACACAGTTGGGGGTCTCCCTTCTACATTTCTCATTCTTTCTAACCTCTTTTCTGTCTCACATAAACTTTTTGAAATACTTGTTTCTTGGCTTTATCCAGCAATGAACATTTAGAAAGCCTATCCCAAATTCTTTTAACCATTCATATATGCATCCATTTCTTCTACTCAGTTATAGGGCAACTCAGTTTTGAAATGTGGTGTTATTGGAAATAGTCTTTTCACTGAGTTTCCATATTGAGGAAGAAAGGGTAGAGGGGGAGTGACATCAGAGATGACATTCATTGGGCGTTTATTCATTCATTCAAATATGTTTACTTTGTTCTTTTCATTGCCAAGTGCTGGAGAAAATAAGATGAATAAGGGTGTGGTCTTGCCTACAAGAACTTTCCAGTCTGGCAGTAATAGACAGACTTCTACACAAATAAGGTGATGCTATCAGAGAGGTCTACTCAGGATGCAGTGTCAGGGAGTGGTGACTCACCACAGACAGGGCACCACCAGTCTCCATTCCTTCTAATCACAGTCAGCTAGGACTTCTCTAACCACAGATCTGTGATGATATGTTAGAATGATGTTGTAATAAAAGAACTTCTATATAAGCCAGAGGTTACAAAGTGGAGACCAGAGGGCTAGATCCAGCTATAAGCATGTGCTTTAGGGCCAAATTAAAAAAAAAAAAAAATAAGCCAGTATTTAAAAATTTGAGGATTTTTGCATCAAAATGCAAATTTCCAACTTGGTTTTAAACTGGATGACCTGATGTCATTAAGTCCACATTCCACTATTGCAAACGTGACTAGAGTTTGGCTAAAAGAGGCTGCTCCTTTAATGATGGCAAGCACTGACTAAGGGGCCCACTTGTTCGTTTCTGTTGCCTTTTCTGTGGTTCATTTGCGTTTAAGCCAACCCTTAGTTTTTCAAATAATGGTAACTGTAGGGCATTAATTAACAATTTGAGGAGACATTGGAATATTAATGGGTGACAAGCATGAAAAAGCAGAATGATTAATTAGAAGTGTCCGGTTATTGTTTCTTTTTCCTCCTCTCTCCCTCCCTCTCCCTTTCTGTCCCCTTCCCTCTCCTCCCTTCCCTCCTCCTCCACCTTCTCCCATTTCTTCTTCTCTTTCTCTTCCTTTTTGACAAACTGTTAACGAGATTTTGTTCTTTTGTAGAAGTGAGACTTTTTTTCCAGACTTGATTTTTAGAAATTATTTTAGAGGTAAGGATGTTGGGATATGGAATTTGACACCTTTTGGCATCTCAACTTGGAAAATCACTTTTTGCACAGTATGCTTTCTGTAGAACTAGTAAGTTTTTCAGCTGGCATTAACAAATGTGAAACTGCTGTAAATCTGGAGGGTAAAATATATTCCCAGCTGGGGACAAATTACCTTTGAAGCCAAAATCAGGCAAAGGCAGAACTAAAGTGGGAGAAATCTGTTTATTGCTTACAAGCAGTTGTTCACTTCTGCTTGCCTGCGTCTCTCACGACCCAGGTGCAAAAAAGGGACCTGACCCAACCTCCCCAGTCCAAATAGGCCCTCCTCACTCCCCGGTGTAATCACCCTCTGATATGGAGATGGACTACTTCTCTCCACCCCTTGGAAACACCTATTGATATGGAGATACACTAAGGCCAGATGAGAGATTCTGGAAATACAGCAGTTTTACCCATACTTGCCAATATAATATTAAACTTGTTAATATACTACATTGAATTAAAAGAAGAAATTACAAGTTGAATTTGTTGCTATGAGAACATCTACTCATATAAAAATAAATGAAGTGCTATTCCTGGCATGTATGTATACACCTTTCAAAATGTATGAGAAAGCTTCATTGCCATGTCATTTTTTTGGAGGGTACTTATTTGGAATAGGTGGTCTTTCTTATTAAAAAGTAAAATTGTTCACTTTTACTTTTTATGTTGCCTACTTGTGACTTGACTTTATTGAAAGATGTTATGTATTGTTCACTTTTATTTTTTATAAAATAAATAAGCATTTATATGTTTGTTTATTGAAATCATATATATTGCTTGAGTACTTGTTTTTCATTGAGGATTGAGTTGCTTTCCTAATGTTATAGGCTCTGTCTGATAATACTCAGTGTCTTAAGCTTGAGTTAAAGAGTCAAAGCCATCTCACTTGAGTTTTAAAAAATACACACTTAAGAGTTTGCAAGGATGTAAACATGCCTGACTCAGCTGGGAGAATGGGTGGCTTTAACACATCTGGAAGTGGTTTTAGATAATTAAGAGAAACAAAAGTGAATTCCCTTATATGGTATGATTGTCGTCTTCGTAACTACTTTTGTGAGGAATAGAACTTGGTATTGAGCAAATGGGCTTTTTACTTTTCCCTGAATGCATATATGGTTTTAGATACTAGGAAAAGAAATAGGAAAGGAAGAAACTTTTCTATCTACACAAGTAACCTCTATATTCAACATAGCATGTATTTCAATATTTGAAAATGGTCTCCTGGTTTTCCCCTCTGTATTCACCTGAGTCTTGTAGACCTGTGGACATATGCTAACCCAAATGAGAATGGACTGCCATTCTTTTTTTTTTTCTTTCCAGGTTCATTGTGATATAATTGACATGTAATGTTGTATAAATTTAAGAGGTACAAAGTGATGATTTGATACACTTACAATTGAGAAATGATTACCATGGTTATGTTAGTTAGCATTTCTATAACTTCACATAATTATTATTTTATTGGCGCTGTAAATGTTTTAAGACAAACTCTTAGTAATTTTCAAGTATATAATGTGTTGTTAACTACAGTCACCATGTTTTACATTATATTCCCAGAACTTATTCATCTTATAACTGGAAGTTTGTACCCTTTGATTGACATGTCTCTTTTTTCCCTACCCCAAGTCCCTGGAAACCACCATTGTCACCTGTTCTGTGAGTTTGGCTTTTTTAGGTTCCATATATAAGTGATATCATGCAGTATTTGTCTATGGTTTCTCAGTATAATGCCCTTACAGTCTATTCTTGTCAAAAATGGCAGGATTTCCTTTTTCCTCATAGCTGAAAATACATACACACATGCATGCACACGCACACACACACACACACACACACACACACACACACACTACATCATCTTCATTCATCAACCTAGGTTGTTCCCATATTTTGGCTATTGTGAATAATGTTGCAATGAACATGATATTCCAGTTATCTCAATATACTGATTTCATTTCCTTATATCTGTACCTAATAAGTAGGATTGCTGGATCATATGGAAGTTCTATTTTTAATTTTTTGAGGAACCTCTGTACTGTTTTCCATAATGGCTGTAACAATTCACATTCCCACCAGCATGCACAAGGGGTCCCTTTTCCCTGTATCCTTGTCAACACTATCCCTTATGTTTTGATAATAGCCACTATAACACTGTGAGGTGATACCTTCTTGTAGTTTTGATTTGTGTTTTCCTGTGATTAGTGATGTTGAGCATCTTATCATGTATCTGTTGGCCATTTCTATGTCTTCTTTGGAAAAATATCTGTATAGATTCTCTGCCCATTTTTTAATTGGATTGTTTATTTCTTTTTGCTATTGAATTGTATGGGTTCCCAATATATTTGGTATATTAACTCCTTAGCACATATATATTTTCTCCCATTCTGTAGATTGTCTTTTCATTTTGTTAACTGTTTCTTTTGCCATGCAGAAACATTTTAGTTTGATAAAGTCCCACTTAATTTTTGCTTTCGTTACCTTTTCTTTTGGTGTCATATCCAAAAAAAAATCATTGCTAAGACTAATGTCAAGAAGCTTTCCCCTATGTTTTCTTCTTTCAGTTTTATGGATTAAGGAATTATGTCTAAGTCTTTAACCCCTTTCAAATGAATTTTTGTGAGTGGTGTAAGATAAGGCTCTAGTTTCTTTCTTTTGCATGTGACTGTCCAGTTTTCCCAACATCATGTATTGAAGAGACTGTCATTTTCCTGTTGAGAGTTCTTGGCTCCCTTGCCAAATATTTGTTAACCACACAGGCCAAGGTTTATTTCTGGGATCTTGATTCTATTCCATTATTCTATGTGTCTGTTTTTATGCTAGTACCATTCTGTTTGGATTGCTGTAGCTTCACAGTACAGTTTGAAGTAGGGTGTGTGATACCTCCACCTTTGTTCTTTCTCAAGATTCTCTTGGCTGTTTGGGGTCTTTTGAGTTTCCATATAAATACACTGACTAAGGGGCCC